CTATAAGAGAACGTTTGTCACTTGCCAAGAAACCTCCAAATGAAAAGAAAGTTTTTAAGCTAGGGACTATAAGAATAATTATTTGGCTGCTGCAGTAGTTACCATTGTCCCACAATGACAATCGCTCTCTATGGTGCTGCCATATGTGTCAATGGCCAGCCTTTGTTTTTGGTCGCCCACAGCTGAGAATGGTCAGTATTTACTAAGCAAACGCAAAACAGTGTTTCACGTCACCACTGCTGCTTTTAGTGAGACTGAGCAGTCGGAGCATGCTAAAAGCAGTCCGCCCAGCTCCATATGACTATTGCTAGTTGTACAGAATGAAAGCTCAACCCATTCAAAACTAACAGTTATAGGTGGACTTGGCATAGTAGGGGCCCAATGGTAGCTTATGTAGAGGATTGAGCACTCCAATTGCAAGATCTTTATATCCGAGTTCCCAGCTCCAGCCCACCCCTGCTTAGAAGGTATTCTATCAGTGCAGTGTGTGTGTGTGTGTGTGTGTGTGTGTGTGTGTCTTCCTAAGGCCTTGTACATACAGACATCAGTTGTGTGCACAGTAAGCCTTTACAAAGGATCTGCAAAGCTTTTAGCCAGCTTCAAACTGCATGTCCCGTTAAGATCTGTGTTTACTTCCATGATGGAGCTAAAGTTTTCTTTAAAGGACCCAACAAAGCTACTTAAAGCAAATACTTTGTAAGAGCTTGCTGTATACACTGCTCTTTCACATACTGATGTCCGTATGTACAAGGCCCAACAGATATGAGAAGCCTATGGACCACTGTCAGCTCTGAGTAGACCTCCCCTTTAAAACAGCGTAATCCAAATACTTACACACATTAGCCCATTAAAACACAATAAGCACACAGAGAAAATTATAACCTACCAATTCTTATTGCTCTTGGTATAGGACATAACCACCAATCAGGTCAGAAGCAGGCACATCCTTGTCACTGTGTCTGTCCTGACGGGCGCTTTGTCTGAGATAATTGTGCTAGGTCTGGACATAGTGGAGGAAGCCATGCTGTTCATCAAAACAGGAATTGGCCTGTCACTGGGCTAAATGGTAACTGGCCTCAAAGCTACCACTGAGACACAAGCTAGGCCCTGTCTCATAGATGCCGATAGATTCTTAAACACTGATGGACCAATTACTGCCTCAGCATACAAAATGGCGAATTGTGCTCTTTACGATCAGCTGACTGATTCCGTCAGGCGACCGGACATTCACAAGAAGGCGGCTTATTAATAAAAAAGTGCTTTAGAGTTGTCGCCACTTCCTACATTCACATTCCAATAAAGGAAAACGTCACCTTTTGTCTTGCTCATTCGACCCTCTTAAGTCAGGTTTACCAAATACAAAAGGATAAGCTTGAGGGTTAAACAGCAACTCTACCCAAAGTTAAGATTTCAGTTTTGCATGGTTGCTGGCAATGTCAATCTGTGTCACTTTAACAATTATAGTGAGGTAGGGGACACAGACCCAAACTACTGTGAGGGTTCCTCTAGATTTATAAAGCCTGAAATATCCTTTTTGGTGGAGCTTTTATTATCAAATTACTTCAGAAAAACCTTCCGATCAGCACCTGAAAAGGCAACTGTCAGGAATGGAAATAATATTGACACCCCGAATATCTTTACAAAGTCAGGACAATTCAGCCCAGGCTAATCTGCTCTAAAACCACCACCCGATTCACCATATTTAGACAAATCCAGACCGGTGTCACCAAGCTCCATCCTCTCCAAGAACAGTAACAATCAGGCCCTTCCTGCCATTGCTTGAGAGATTAAGATATGTTCTAAGCAGTTCAGAGTTTAAACTGCAAACAGGAACTAGGATGTTCTAGACAGGAAGTCCAGTGAGAACTGGAAAACACATCCCCCCCAAGGAACAAGGCCTAGCTGTTGTTTCTAACAACTACATGAATGAGTTACTAATACAATTTTAAAATATAAATAGTACATTGAAATTCTGCTTGACTCTACAATTGTTTGGAAGCTCCATCAAGTAGCTTATATGTCAACAGTAGCCTTCAAGGGCCACCAACATGGCACATCTCAAGGGTATTAAAAACTAGGAGCCAGTAAGCACAAGCAACAAGTAGTTCTATGTAAAAGAGCACCTGATAAAATTCATGGGTATGCTTGTCAAAAGTGAACATACGCAAATTGAAGATGGTATATGAACGAGCGATGTTTCCCTGCTCGCAGTTGGCTTCCTGTTTAACCAACCCAGAGGTCTCTTGCTAGCCTTAAAGCGACTGTCACAAATTCAAATTTTGAAAAAGTCAATGCCAAATCTGGAGGGGACTCGAACTATACGCCTGAAAAATCTAAAGAATCCAACATTTCCGAGTGTGTCAGATGCCTGTGCGCCCCACTGCATTCTGCAATTCCACCTGCAAGCCACTGCGTCCCTCTAAGACTATAGTGACATAGTGGTCCGGGGTGGAATCACAGTGCATAGCTGATGACGTGGGCACCCTACACTCCCAGAAGTTGTTGCTGCTCTTGTTGGATTTTAAAGAAAGAGGAGAGAAGATTAAAGTTACTGTCCCTTGGATTGGCAATTATAGCTCTTTAATTGCACGGTGACTTTTTCATCCCCATTTCCTGAAGACAGCGTCGCTTTATGGAGCTGCTAACTAGACCACAGCAACGTTTCAGGACTATCAAATTTCCCCACAGGTCTGAGCCCATTAAAAAAATTGAATTTGAATTTTATCAGTAACTCCTTCACATAAAGTAACGTCTTGCTTTAGGCTATGTGGCCCTTTAAGCACACTTTCTTTCAGGTTATAAAAGTGGGCTGAACCAGTTACCTCTGGCTGGTTTCCATGTTTTCTGGGCACACTTTGGTATCAAAATATAATCAAAATAATCATTACAAAAATAGACTCCCTCAGCTATGCCCCGGATGATGAAACAAAATCAATCAAAAAATCTCCCTTTTCAAAGGGTCAGTCCACCCAAAACTCCCAGGCTGAATTAGCCAATAGCTTTTCATGGCGTTCAGTGTGGATTGCTGCTGTACTGCGTACAAGCCACAAGCTATGGAGAGGCAACCTCAGTGTTGTTTTACTGTGTATTTCACAATCATAGAGACGAACGGAGAGGAAGGCTTGCCAATGGAAACGCCAAGATGTAAGAAGCCAATGGATTCAGCTCCCATTACGGAGCACTCAGTTCTGAGTGGACAGAGCCATTAGAGAGTTAAACTACAATGCAGAGCTTTACACATCAGTAGCATGCTGCAGAATATGCCACGGAATAAAGAGAACGTTCACATTTTTTTTTTTTTAAAGCTGGCGTCCGTCGTCCATGTCTGATAGTCTTTTTTTGGCAGGGTTGGTAAAGCACCAAATCCGGCTCCTTGTAACATGGATGAAGACGCTGCTAAAGTAATACATAACGATATAGAACCTTAATTTATGGCACAGATTCAGCTTTTTTCAACCAAATTACTGATTGGTCAAAAAAAGCCTTCTTAGGCTAATTTGATAGGTCAGTGCAGAAAGCAGCTTCAGTTTATTAAGGATGACACAAAGAGCAACTTTACATGAATGTGTCCATTTTGGATGGACTTCAGGTTTGATCTGCCACCGCTTCCTCGCTGCTGTCTGAAATCCTGAGCTCTCAACGCTCAGCATGGTGCAGAAAGAGGGCTACTGTTGTCACTGGCCTAAGTTCTCCAGATATTCCTACCGAGAATCCACTTTAGACGTGGCCCTAAATCATCAGTTCATATACCCCAGAGTGTGCTGCTGGTGGGTTCTGCCTATTTCTGCATCCTAAACTCATCATAACAGTTTGGAGTTTTAGAAAATATTAAATCAGACACAGGAAAGTATTTTCAAGGTGGCCGTAGGTGTCCTGATAATAACAAGCAATGCTCTTAGCTTTGAACTCCACTTGTGGTTGGCTGTTTCTGAACAACTAGGAGGCAACAACGAGGTTCTCTGGCATATAGAAGAGCTCATTGTCACACAAGGTGTATTTCCAACCTTCACTCTTATAGAGCAGTGGAAAGGACCAAAGGTCAAGCGCTGGCGATCAGGCAACCAGTTCAACTATGGGCAGCTATCCCTCCAGCTCCCGCTGTCATTCTCAGGAGTTATCTGGCCTTCAAAAACTACATGTTGCTGTTTGAAAAATATAACTCCCTGTTAAGAAAAAGTACTGCCACAGCTAGTTAAAGCATCTACCATCCACTTGCCGTGGCTGCACGGTTCCCCAGCCTTGCCTGGATGCCCGTAAACTCAATGGACGGGTCGTTTGCACTGATCTGACCATTTACTGAAATGAAGGCCTTATGGTTAAGCACTCTCAACTACAAAATGTGATAAGGCCCCTTCCAAGACCTGTCGATTGTGTTCTATTAATGTCAACGAATCCTCCGATCACTGCAAACAGCTCCATGTCCTTTGATTTCATGGTTTTGAAAACTTTTATGGTTGTTTTTTTATAATAAATATACCTACGTCAAAGGGGTACTGGAGATTAGGTGACCCACAACAGATTGGCTTTTATAGTAGGGCCACATTCTTTCATAAAGTTGACACTAGAAGGAGCAAGACACAGAAATATTGTCATATGCGTCCTCGAAGGAATATTCCACGGATAAAGAACGTGACCGTCCAGTACACAAAGTAGATCCAGGTCGAGGACAGCCAAGACAGCAAGGAAGAACCAGTAGAGGATCGAACTGTGAATTGCTCTGCCAAGATATCAAATTTTGATGTTTTTTTGGTTGACACTGCACTGTGTAGACCAGGGGTAGTCAACTTCGGCACTCCAGCTGTGGTGAAACTACCGATTCTACCATGCCTCTGTCCCTCGGAGTCATACCTGTGGCAGTCAGAGTCTTGCAATGCCTCATGGGACTTGTAGTTGGAGTGCCAAGGTTGCCTACCTCTGTTGTAGACATTCGCTTCTCTGCACTGTCTCACCATATGAGCCCTTTTGTGTATCAATTAAACAGTACAGCTTATATTCCTGTTTTTTTTTTTCCTCTCTTATATAAACAAAGCACTACACTTAACTGAACAAGGCAAACCAGAATTGCTACATTTACATATCTATGTACAAAAGAAAAGAAAAAAAAAATTCAACAAAATAAATCCCGTGTCTAAACAAAACTCTCTGGAAAGCAGTGGGGATTAGTTACTGCCAAAATATATATATAAAAAAAGAAAATATTTTATAGTAGTGCCGTTTTGCTAACATTAGTAAAGATAAAGCATCGTAAAAAATAGAACACAGATGATTGCACATTACTGCCACATTGAGTGGGCCAGCACTGACACGACAAATGCATATGCTGGATGCTACATGACAGGGGGCCTCTCTTGGTGAATGGTGGAGTTGCTGGTATGTCCTGGGTGATGTTCCGAACTTCAGGTCAAGTGCCGGGTGATTGCTCGCAGAGCGTAGAGGAGTTCGGCCTGCATGCGGGCCTCCATCAGGAGCAGGTTGACGTGGACCTGGAAACACAGAAGAGATGATTGAGAGAAGGCAACAAGAGAGCCGGCCGATGACATGCTTAACACACAACTATCAAAATGATATTGTGTCATCTGTTCACATACAAAGAGTTCCTATAAGAGTTCCTCTAACACCTTCACGCACCCAATCTATAGGAGGACAAAGCAAAAGGAGCGCCTCCATAGTGTAAAATGGATTTATAAAGGATAAAACACACAGCTGAAAAGGTACTTACAAACCAGCTTGTATAAACGAGCAGAAAGCGATATAATCTCAGGAGACCTTCAAGATGAATACACGAAAATAGAGTGAGGGAAAGGAAGTGCTAGTACTAAGCCGAAGCTTGACGCGTTTCTGAGGACAAACCTTGGATGAAAGAGGTTTGTCCTCAGAAACGCGTCAACCGAAGGGTCAGCGCGCAGATGGCTTTGGCTTAGTACTTGCACTTCCTTTCCCTCACTCTATTTTCGTGTATTCATCTTGAAGGTCTCCTGAGATTATATCGCTTTCTGCTCGTTTATACAAGCTGGTTTGCAAGTACCTTTTCAGCTGTGTGTTTTATCCTTTATAAATCCACTTTACACTGGATTTATAAAGGATAGGCGCTCCTTTTGCTTTGTCCTCATCAGATTTTCGCTTTCCCTTGACTGCGAGGTGCTGCCCCCCTGTATATACCTTTAGAAGACCATTTTCAGGAGCAGTTACTGTGTTTTGGCGCCTGTGATTTTCACATATCTTTACCCAATCTATATATTAAAGTTGCTGGAGGCTCTTCCTCTGCACCCATATGCAATGTGTTATGGTGATTCTCCAGCTGAGGAAGTATAATTGTTACTCTTACAAACCTTGACATTGGTCACCAAATTATATTATGCAATCTGTTCACATACAAAGAGTTCCTACAAAAGTTCCTCTGTAACACCTTCACACCCCCAATCTATATATTAAAGTAGATGGAGGTCCTTCCTCTACTCCCATATTCAATGTGTTACATGAATCCTCCTGCTGGGGAAGTAAAACTGTTACTCTTATACACTGAGTGGCCAGATTATTATGACCACCTGACATTTGTAGGCAAATTAGCTATAATTTGGCGCTGAAGTTGCTAGAGGGCCAGACCATTATAAATAGGGAAGCAGGTTGTTTACCACGAGAGTAGAAGTGATTTTTTCCTGAAGATACGGGGAAACAACGCGATTTAACAGCCTTTGTATGTGGGATGATTGTTGGCGCTCGGAGCCATGGAGCGAGTATCAGCAAAACAGCAGAATTCATTAAATGTTCAAGAGCAGCTGTTGTTAAAGTGTTTAAAAACTGGACTGTCAGCCGAAAATCTGGGTCTGAACGTGCGAATTGTGGCCGTCAGCGACTAGTCAATGTTAGGGCAGAACGGAGAGTGGCAAGACTGGTACAAGACAACAGAAGGGCAACAGTGCAGTGTCAGATTCCTCGCATCACCTTTCAACATCTCGTGGAGTCACGAGGCGGCCCAACGAAGTACTGATGGGGTGGTCATAATAATCTGACCACTCAGTGTATATATCCTGGGCTGCAATGGCCTCTGGTCACAAAGGAGTTAAATAACCCAATTTGTTGATACAGAAAAGCACAGTTCGATGTTCTGCGTATTACAATCTTTTCAGCTCTGTTGCTGTGGAATCAGTTAGATGTTCGGCTTACTCACCTTTTCAGAGTGCTTGAACTGACGCCAGTAGCTGTCATACATGCGTTTTGTGGCTCGCTCGGGGTAACAGGTCACAGTTTTGATGTAAACCTTAAGGCTTCTCTCAAGTAATTGATTAACTTCCCCATAATCATAGTCATCGTACCTGGGGAAAATCATGTCAGATAGAGACCATTAGCTGCGCAGCCCATTTCATCCGTACTGTACCACAGCCAGCCGAGAGACACTTATTAATCATTACACAGGCTTTGTCTTCTCAGAAACACTCTCTTATTAATCAAAATATGAAGCTGTTGGGGGGTTTTACGTCATTTTCAGGCCTAAAATGTGGAATATAACATGGGTGCAAAAATTGAAAAAAGAGCCTCAGTCATGAAGGGGTTAAAAGACAGAACATTTTTAAGGTGCATCTAAAAGCCCAAACATTCTTTTCCAATCTATGGGGTGTATTAATAAAGCATTTACAGAGGCGCTCGCTATGTGAAAATCTGCCACCGACACGACATTAAGTATTTATTTCCCTTGCTCCATTTAGTGGCTCCATCTTTGCTCCTCACCTCCATCTAGCGGCACCATCTATGCTCCTCACCTTCATTTAGTGGGTCCATCTTTGCTCCTCACCTGCATCTAGCGGCACCATCTCTGCTCCTCACCTCCATCTAGTGGCAGCATCTATGCTCCTCACATCCATCTAGCGGCACCATCTATGCTCCTCACCTCCATCTAGCGGCACCATCTATGTTTCTCACCTCCATCTAGAGGCACCATCTATGTTTCTCACCTCCATCTAGAGGCACCATCTATGCACCTCACCTCCATCTAGCGGCATCATCTTTGCACCTCACCTCCATCTAGCGGCACCATCTATGCTCCTCACCTCCATCTAGCGGCACCATCTAGTGGCTCCATCTATGCTCCTCGGCTCTACCTAGTGGCTCCTTAGCTCCACCTAGTGGCTCCCGAGCTCCATCTATGTTGCTCGGCTCCATCTAGTGGCTCCTCGGCTCCATCTATGCCCCTCAGCAGAATGAGGCTCCTCAACTCAATCTATGCTCCTCAGCTCAATCTAATGACTCCATCTATGCTCCTCTGCTCCATCTATGCTCCTCTGCTCCATCCAGTGGCTCCTCAGCTCCTCTGTGAATGTTTTATAAATACACTCCTATATGTCCCATTAAATGTGACTCAGATTGTACTCAAAATAGGGGTCAGCATTACAGTCAACCACCCAGGAGGCAGTCACCACATTTATCACCACATTTTTTTAAACTTTAAAGCTGAACTCCGGGCATAACGCTAAATACACAATTCAAATACAAACAGGAAAGCCGTTTTATCTGCCAGACACATTTGTATTTCTGTCCATTTAGTTCGGAGATTTACTCAGCTATGCTACACAGCAAAATCCTGCTTGGCCGGGGATTGGGCTTGATTTTTCACTGCTGCAGTTTGACTTTCACTTACAGGTCCCTTCCCCACCTTGTGACTGGACAGTGAAAGAAGAAGCAGCATATTATTGAGTTCTGCTCAATCAGCTTATTCCTTGCATTGCAACACACCTGACTGGCTCATTGTGCAGCGGAAAGGGGCTAGACCTTCTTACAATATTTTTATATTGCTGTCAGTGTCTTCCTGTCCTGATGACAACCAATTCCCCCCTTTCTAGTACAGGTGTCACAGTGACAGGAAGTGAGGAAAAATCACAGGCAGCAATTTTTCCGCTCTTCCCTACTCTATTGAAAACAAACCAATCTGGTGCGTGGAGTTAGGCTCTAATGAAGTCTTTCTGTACAACACATGTGACATCATGTAACACCCTTCCTATACGTACCGGATTCCAAACATACAGTGGACATAGTTAAACAAGGCTCTTCTTAACATGGTGGTGTCGACGTCTTCGTGAGTGGCCATGGTGTTGTAGGTGAGATTGTAGACCATCCGGAACTTGTCATCCAGAAGGTGGCCGATGTCAGAATAAAGCCTGTTTACCAGTGAGAATCCATGATCTTCCCAAGAGTAGTCCTGCAACAAACAAGGGAGGAAATGCATGTCACGGATGGGGCGAGAGTAAATCCTTTCTGCAAACTGGAGATGGCTGCCATGCATCCAATTAAAACTTTTCTGACAACTAAAGAAAATATTGTTGTGTTGCATGGTGCAAGGGAAAAGTAATGTGTATGTAAACCTAAAATCAATTTTTTAGTATACGGGTAGGCAAACTCCAGCCCTCCAGCTGTGCTGAAACTACAAATCCCATGAGGCACTGCAAGACTCTGACAGCCACAGGCTCCTAGAGGCAGATGTATGATGGGTTTTGTAGTTTCACCACAAATGGAGGGCAGTAATATGTCTACCCCGAGGTCTAGACTATCAACTAAAAAAATTGGATTTTCAAGCTGTCGAGATGTTTTCGGTATTGAGTACGAGTATGATTAGCCGGGAAGCGTGTATTGACTCGCCACCCGGCATTCCGATTGCCCAGGAAGCCGTCTCCAAGCTCCCTTGTCACCTGAGGGCGGGTAATGACTCAACGCCAGGCTTCCTGATTGGCCAGCTTCCTGACCTATCAGGAAGCCGGGCGGAGAGTCATTACACGGTGCCCGGCTTCAGGACCAATCAGGAAGGTGGGCGGTGAGTCACTACACGTCCCCAGGTGACAAGGGAGCATTGCGCCTGCTTTCTGGCCAATCAGAAAGCCGGGGGTTAGAGGCCGGCAGTGAGTCATTACCCGCCCCCAGGGTTCCTGATTGGCCGGGAACCTGGCTCCATGCTCCCTGGTTATGAGGGAGCATGGAGCCGGCTTCCCGGGCAATCAGGAAGCCGGGCAGCGTGTAATGACTCTCCGCCCAGCTTCCTCATACCGGAAAGTTCTGGTATTGGGATAGGCATTGGGAGCATTAGGGCAAGTACCGGTACTCACCCAAATACTCGATATCGGCACCAATACTAGTATCGGTGCATCCCTAATAAAAATCCCAATTTTTTTCATCTATATACAAAGCTGATACATACATGTGCTCGGAATGTAGGCAGATGTTCCTCTCCCCTCCTTGCAAAATCTTTATATCCGAATCCAGGGTCTTCAATATAGCGGGAGGCGTTGGACATTGAAACCACGTCATTGTCAAATGCTGTGTAAAGAAACAGATGGTTAAAAAGAAGTAATACCTTTGCTCCCGCCAGACATGTAATATTCATGAGGATGCAGCCTGTCCATTAAATATTCAATGATACAATGGCATCTCACACTTCCACCCCCTAGAGACTGGAATAAGAATCCAAGCCACAACATGGAATAATAAATCGGCTAGAAATCGTATGGATACACTGTTTGGAAGAACCATTACTGACCTACATCAGACTACAATTGTGGCCCTCCAGCTGTGCTTTACCCCACCATGCCTCTGCCTCAGGAAGTCATGCCTGTAATGGTCAGTCTTGCAAAGCCTCATTGTTCTTGTAGTTCCACAGCCGCTGGAGGGCCGCAGTTGCCCACCTCTGGTCTACAGTGACAAAAAGCACTGAAAGTCTCCCTGGAACACAAAGGTTTCTCTAAACCTGGACACAATTTATTTCAAACTGCACAATATGACCCAAGTTTAGACACCCCCAAAGAGAAAGAGATAGGCTTCCAGTGGTTTCCCTGAAAAGTGTTGTCCGTCTAACACTGAACATGCTTACAGGACAGGAGAGCCCGGAAAGGCTCCCATCAGTGTACTGCAGCTCCATCACGCTTCATTCACAGGCTGGGGGCATGAAGGTGACCAAGATGCATTGCTCTAACTGCAGTAAAAGAAAGGACAGGTCAACGGGTCATCAACCTGGCTGTACTGCCTGGAAGGGCTGTGTAAATTTTTAAAAACAGGGTGGCGAGAAACACGACATCAAAGTCAGAACTTTTTAAAGCCATTTCTTGTGGTGATTCAATCACTCACAATGGATGATGATCCTTGATGTTTAAAGTTCTAGTTGCCTGTAGAACCAGCTGGCCCCCTGAGCACTGGCCCCGATATCCTGTTTTACGGTGGCCCCTTTCCCTTCCATGGTTCTATGGAGCCACCCAAGCCAAGACTCTACCCTACTTCCTGCTCCTCCCTATTCCCTTCTTCAAGGTAGTAGATGGACGGCTGTTGGGGACTCTTGTACTAGACAGGAAGTTCTGGGAAACCGAGCTTGAAAAGTTGGAGCTGTTCAGAAACATGATGACTAAGTGTTTGGGAAACAATATAGAGAAAAGCTTTGCTGGGCAGTGTATACTTGTTTGATCTGCATCCATTATTAAAAAAAAGTTTGAGAGTTTAAGACTACTTTAATGTTTTGGCGGCTAAACCGGCTCCCTTAGATGTACTTCAATTGTGTATTTAGCTTTTTCCCGGCAGTTCAGCTTTAAACTAAGAATACTAAAGCCACGGTTTGGAAGGGTCTTGGGTCTTGTGCCTCTGCACTCATTCGTGGACTTCTTTTTTGGGGACATTACATAAACGCCAGTTTTATAGATCACCGTCTAGGTGGACTATGGATGATCCAAGGCCCATGTTTACCGTAGCCAGGCAATTCTCTACAGCTCTAACAATGTTTCACTAGGCAAACAGCGTTCCTTTATCTGTAGAAAGCGTCCTCTATTCCTGCAGAGGCAGGTGGCTACATTGCGTAACCGCCGTCCATGGAGCTAATTACCGACTGGCTGACTGAATGTGACCTTGGTGGTGATTCTCAGACGGCTCCTCACAAGCTGTCCACAGCGCTGGGACATATGGCCTTTGCTGGCTGTTAACTGTCACGAGGGAAGCTTCATGGACACTTGCTTCATTACCCAATCAAAACATCGTTCTGCAAGGGAACGAGATACTTGCAAAAAGTATTCACCGTATTTAACGAGGATAAGGGCACAACTGATTTTGAAACCTGTCTTCTAGAACGGGTCTTCTATCTGGTCTATGGGGTGGTCAACTCCGGTCCTCCAGCTGTTGTGAAACTGCAAGTCCCATGAGGCAGTGCAAGGCTGACAGTTCGGCCTCATTCACACGAGAAACGGCCGGCACATATAGCTCCGTGCTGCGTGCACGGCCGTATCGGGCAGCTCCCGGGATAGACAGGTGCTGTGTGTGATTAGTACAGCCCCTGTCCTTCTCTATGGGAGTACGGGGCCGTACGCCACCCTAAGCTCACCCCAAGTGCAGGTCCGTACGGGTCCGGGTGTCCCAGCTCAGACGCAGACAGGATCCATCCCGTCAGCGGTGTATTTAACTTTTGTGCTGCCCTAGGCAAGACAGCAACGCCGCCCACCCCGGACTGAATCTGCGATTCTATCCAACAGCACCATCCCCCCCCTCCGCGGACGACAGCAGGCCCGCCCCCCGCTCTTCTCCGACAGCTCTCCATGCACGGACATGCATGGAGGGTGAGCGTAGGGCGGCGTACTCCCATAGAGAAGGACAGGGGCTGCGTACTAAATCACACGCAGAGTGAGCTGTACATGCTGGCCGTTTCTCGTGTGAATGAGGCCTTGCAGGTAGGACTCCCAGAGGCATGTGAGCAAAGCCTTGCATTGTAACAAAAATATGGAAGAACAAGCTTGTAAAATATGGACGTAACATTCAAATTAATTTGAAGGTAAACTCTGCAATAAAACCCTTCCACTGAATATACTCTACTTCTCCTTTAAGAGAATCTTTCTGGTGGAGGAGCTTGCATTGTCCTTGGACAGCTCAGTCCGCGTTCTGCGAAATGTTGACGTTTAATGATTATAACACATATCAATAATGTTATCAGTAAACAGAGCTTTGAGTTACTGCGTTCGCAAGAACCAGTTCAATGGAGATGTGCTCTGCCCTAATCCCCGACTATAAGCCACGGCAACACACACTGTCGACTGTTAGCAAAGAGGGTGTCCTGGAATGAAGTGTCAAAAAGCCAACCAGTCCCTTCCAGCAGAGACCTACAAGGTCCCGTTTCTGTAGACTCACAGCTGAGCTAATGACCTGGAAAGCTCTTTGAACTTGCTTGTCCCACTTTTCCTCCTTCAGAGGGGTACCACATTACAAGCGACTGCTATGTGAGGGCATAGTCACCTGCTTTTCTCCATCCAGTACACGTATAAACGTACCCTTGGACATATACAGTATGTTACAAGAAACTGTAAGCCAGTGATTACCGTCATGCTACCGCAGACTTCCACAAGTTACAGGAGTTGGATTCCATGTTACAAGAAACCATAAGCTAGTGACTACTTTCACGCTACCAGAGACTGCAGCAAGCCACAGGAGTCAGCTTCCATGTTACAAGAACCAGTAAGCTAGTGACTACTGTCATACTACCAGAGACAGCAGCAAATTACAGGATACAAGAACCTGTAAGCCAGTGACTACTGCCATGCTACCAGAGACTGCAGCAAGTTACAGAGCGTGTCTTTGATGTTACCAGAGCCTGCTGCCATGTTAAGGTGAAACCAGACGCTTTAGACAACCTCATCCTTATAATAGTGTAAGGCCTCTTGACTTTGGCACTCCAACTTATTCACAAAAGTCCTTCATTTAGAGACCAGTATATGGTCTGCGGTCTGGTTCCTGCCGCTACATTCTTCGGGTCATCGCACTCAAGGTTTGGTACAGAACCTTCTCAGCTCACTACATTGGCCTTTGTACTCCCTGAGTCCTCCACTTCCTCCTGCAACCTCCAGACAAGTGATGCAATGGTAGCCCCCGTACAGCTCGCTCTCCATCCAGGTAGGTGACACATTTTGTTAGCTCCTGCATTATGGGAACAGATGGCTCAGGTCTGCACAGCTCCAATACGAAGAAGTGGCCACACATGGCTCTTGTTTGAATTCTTCCATGTGTGTGGGACTGTTATCAGATGATGACTAGATGTGCAGATATGATCCGACTCTATTCCAATCTGATCAACGTGCCACATAAACACCAATTCCTAGTCTATGGAGAGGGACAGGAGAGACAAATAAAGACAAGCCGCCATCATGCCAACTCATCTTAGGGAGGAAATCTAAGGAGATTGGACAAGGTTTGCTAACCTAATCAATATATCCATCAAAGCTGCATCAGCCAGCGGTATGTGCAGGGTGCCACAGGACACCAGAATGCTGTCAAGCGGACATAGAATTTCTAGAATTACCGGTTTTCTTCGGTAAACGAAGCAGCTAAAATAAAAATCTTGACGTACCGTGTAAATAGAACACAAACATCAGAGTTCAAGGCCGTCTCTTGTTATCAAACATTAGATTGCTGCAAAATGTCACCTGTGGGAAGTGACACCCATGTCACCTGTGCCCTGGAGGGCATTGAGGCCAGATGTCAGACATGCAACTAGTCTAGAAAAGGTGAACCTGTCATATTTGAGTTTGAAGCTACACTTCAGGGCCGGTGCACACCTAGGCGACACCTCACTGCGCGGTAATCGTGCATGATTCCACGCAGATTGCCGTGTGGTCACGGAGTCGCCCAGCACAAATGGTCGCGATGTGGGTGCCATTATTTTCTAATGGCACCCCAGTGGCGCCGGCCTGATCGCGTGGGATTCCGTACGTGCATCAGAACACGGCGTGCGTTGTGCATCGCAAAAAAAGGTACGTGTACTTTTTTCTGCAATTGCCGCACGGATGTTACCCCCACTGAAATCAATGGGGCTGCGCTGCAATCGCTGTGTGCACTGTGCAGGACTGCACGATCCCGGGCACGCGATCCCGGATTGCTCAGGTATGCACCGGGCCTCAATGAAATATTAAAGTGGAAAAGCAAAATTATGTTTTATCTGCACAAGCTTTATCCATAAGGTTGAACTATGGCCAATCTATGTAATCCCAGCAGGGCTTTGTGTTTTCTAAGTACTTTCTGGAACATAAACACCTGTTAATCCTGCTAGTAGGACTATTGGACAGGCACTTCCTTTATTGCGTGACAAAAATGAGCCTTCTGCAATGAAATCACTTAAAGAAAAACTCCAGGAAAATCAAAAACTTACCCTTGCAGTGGGGCTACCCTGGCACTGCAGGGGTTAAGTGCTTGTTTTCCTAAGGGGGCTCAAATAAAGCATATTTACTTACCTGATCTTCAGTCCTGCCAGGCTGCTATACTGGTCCCTGCAGCTGCTTCTCCCCCAGGCTCCGGTGGTCTAAGTACCACTGATGCCATTACATCTAATGCAGGTCCACTGAGGTGCATCAGACATGAGGATGTGAAGGACATTCTAGAGCCGGAGTGGAGATGGAGAGAGGTGAGTGAAGGAGAGAGGAAACGAGGATCAGGTGAGTAAAACTGCTTTATTTGAGCCCCTTAGACAAAACAAGCACTTAACCCCTGCAGTTCCAGGGTAGCTCCACTGCAAGGGTAGGTTTTTGATTTTCCTGGAGTTTTTCTTTCTCATAAACCCATATTTTATTCACAATAGAAAACATTAAATGTTTAAACTGAGAAAAAGTACAATTTTAAGAAAAAAATAAAAGGTAATTTTGACATTGATGGCAGCAACAGGTCTCAAAAAGTTGGGACAGGGCCATGTTTACCACAGTGTAGCATCCCCTCTTCTTTTATCAACACTGTGTAAATGTCTGGGAACTGAGACCAGTTGCTGGAGTTTTGGGAGAGGAATGTTGTCCCATTCTTGCCTGAGATAGGATTCTAACTGCTCAACAGTCCTGGGTCTTCTTTGTGGTGTTTTTCTTTTTAAGATGTGCCAAATAATTTCAGTCGGTGAAAGGTTCTGGACTGCAGGCAGGCCAGCTAAGCACCCGGACTCTTCTAATACGAAGCCATGCTGTTGTCATAGATGCAGTCTGCGGTTTAGCATGGCCCTGGTGAAATATACAAGGCCTTCCCTGAAAAAGACATTGTCTGGATGGGAGCATATGCTGCTCTAAAACCTGGATTTATCTTTCAGCACTGATGGTGCCTTTCCAGATGTGCAAGCTGCCCATTCCATACGTACTAATGCCCCTACATACCATCAGAGATGCAGACTTTTGAACATAGCGCTGATAACAAGCGGATGGATGGTCCCTCTACTCTTTAGTCCGGAGGAAGCAGTGCCCATGGTTTTCAAAAAATGTCAAATTTTGATTCGTCTGATCTCAGAACAGTTTTCCACTTTGTAACAGACCATTTTAAATCAGCCTTGGCCCAGAGAAGACGGCGACGTTTCTGGATCATGTTCAGATATGGCTTCTTCTTTGCATGATAGAGCCTTAACTTGCATTTTTGGATGGCACAGCAAGTTCACAGACGGTGATTTGTGGAAGTATTCCTGAGCCCATGCAGTGATGTCCATCACAGAATCATTCCTGTTTTTAATGCAGTGCTGTCTGAGGGCGAGAAGATCACGGGCATCCAATATAGAGTTCCAGCCTTGTCCCTTGTGCACAGAGATTTCTCCAGATTCTCGGAATCTTTTGATGTTATGTACTGTAGGTGATTATAGATTTAAAGTCTTTGCAGTTTTACGTTGAGGAACATAATGATGAAATTGTTTGACAATTTTTAGACGCAGCTTTTCACAGATTAGTGAACCTCTGACCATCTTTACTTGTGAGACACTCTGACTCTCTAAGATGCTCTTTTTATACCCAGTTATGTTACTGACCTGTTATCAATTAACCAAATTAGCTGTAAAATGTTCTCTTAGCTCTTCCTTGTTAGTACCACTCGCTTACAAAACGACCTTATTTTTTTCTTCTTAAAATGGTACATTTTCTCAGTATAAAATACGGGTTTATGAGATTTGCAGATCATTGCATTCTGTTTTTATTTCGATTTTACACAGCGTCCCAACTTTTTTGGGAATTGGGGTTGTACATTTCTTTGAATGTCATTTTTTATTTCTTTTATTTGCGGTTTCAGTGTCTATTAATAGGAAATGTATACAGTAAAACCTGTCTCCTATGAGAAATATGGGGGCTGCAAGCCGCCTTCTGAAAATGCAAACTTCCTGGTAGTAATGATACATACCTTCTAAGATCACTGACCCACAACTTCTATGCAGATCAGGAAAGTCACATGTCCTTTTACAGTAGAGAAAGTCATTTGTGTTTATGAGTGATCATCTGGTTATCTAAAACTCGGTATGAACGAGGGCTACAGGCCTCTTTTTAAGTGTGTGGGCAAAGCTCAACCAACTAACTAAAAGTATGTTGAAAACCTGTCAGATCTTACCAATAAAGAAAACCCGAAGACTGTCATTGCTAACTGCAAGTCTTCTAGTTATATATTAGGTTAGCTTTAAAGCAGTGTCCTGGTCCATGCTTACACCCTTGCTTCAATATGCAGCACATACGATTCAAAGAAGTCCCTGCCCGCAAGGAACTTACAAATCGAAGGTCCCAATCTCACATACTAGGGCCAACTTAGGGAGGAGCTGATTAACCTGCCAAAATGTCTTTGGAGTGTGGGAGGAAACCAGAATACCCGGGGGAGACCCACACCAGCACAGGGAGAACATACAAACTCCATGCCTAGATTTGAACGGGGGACTTCAGTAATGCAAGGCAGAAGTACTAACCACTTTTATACAGTAGCCTATTCTGCCTTCACATCGCAGGCCCTGGGCAAATAAATGCAAACCACTAGCTCAAATCTAGTTGCAGTCATTTGTTTGATACAGATACAAAATATACAATAGGGCACTTCACCTAATTTCCAGAGTACGACAGTGAAACAGTGACTTATTCAAGGCTACAATCTTTCAGGAGGCCTGGACTTAAACAAGGCTCTGCAAAAATATTTTCAACCTGTTTTTACGGTCAATACACTAGGTTGCAAAGCCACCTTCTCTCTTGAATGAGCTCAGTGTGAACTTGTTTTTCCTTTTGATTATAATGTGTGTATTATTCAGTTACCTTCCTACATAACTTAATGTATAACCAGCTCAAGGTTAAATACAGTCGTTGCTGGGGATAGGGACACAAGTCTGTACCTTAAAGCCAAACGTAACCCAAACTCTTTCTTATTTGTCTAGTGAGTTGGGTTTGACTATACAGAGCTGTTCATGACTACATGAAAAACTGCCTGGTTTTCCTGACCGGCCCAGAAGCCAATCAGGGAGCCAGGTCATGACCCGCCGGCCAGGAAGTCTGGCTCCACGCTCCTTTGCAGCACTTCTGGTCAAAGGGAATCTCCCTTACCGGCAGTTCCGATATTGGGGTAGGTATCGGAGCATCTGTACGAGTGCAAGTACGAGTACTCAAATGCTCAGTATCGGCATGTCACTGCATCCTAGAGAACTCACAAGCTTATTGATGTCACTGCATCCTAGAGAACTCAGACTGACTGTTGTCACTGCTTCCTAGAGAACTCATAGACTGACTGTTGTCACTGCTTCCTAGAGAACTCATAGGCTCACTGATGTCACTGCTTTCTAGAGAACTCATAGGCTCAGTGATGTCACTGTTTCCTAGAAAACAAACAGGCCTCCCTGTCTTTGATGTCACTGATCTCCTAAGAAAAGGATTGGGATAAGTTTTAGTAATATAACTGACATCTAGAAAACTCATCAGCTTTGGTCTCATTAAAGCCAGTGGTTTCTATAGAAATAGTGAGTTGCATTGTCTGTAATGATGCCAGTTCTTGATAGGCTGCATGCAATGAATGCTGGTTCACTGAACATGGCATGTAGACATCAAATTACCTCCAGAGATAACCAACAGACTTTCCTTCTTTTCTTTCTCAAAACGTGTGGCCATCTCTTCCTGCGATGCCTCTTCTTCTTCTCTTTCTTCTTGAAGTTTTTTCATTCTCTCCATCAAAGCTTCTAGTTCACTTTCATAGTGAGCATTCTGCAAATCACAGAGTATAATATATCATTTTGCTAGAGACAATATAGGCAGACATACATTGGGCACCGGTGGTGGGTGCCAGCTGTCACAATACAATGGCTACAACGGGATATTCATCCATGCATGCGGTTTAGCACGGATGGAGGAATCTGATCAATGATTGTTGTTCAGCCAGTGAAAAAAGAATCTATTAGTGTATATTAAAGATTCCAGTTCCCCTATAAGTTTTCTCTGCATGTTATTTTTTCCCTTTTCATTTCGCCCATTTATACACTTTAAATACAGTCACAGAGTGCGGGGCTCGGCCCTCGGCCACTTTTACACTAGCCTCTAGTAGTGTACTGAAATAGCTTCTCTGTTGGATGGAAAGGAAATAAAACATCCCCAATACCCCAAGCTGATGTCACAGGGTTTGTTCATGACACAGACAAGCGATCTTTCCTGCCATTGTTTCTTGGAAGACAGCAAATGGAACAATCAGACAAAAAGGAAAACAAAACAAGGCTCATCCATTCCCCTACTGACCTCGGTGCTATTACTTGTCAGGCTTGTGCTCTCTATACTGTTATCGTTGGCAAGATCACAAACGCAGAACTTGTTTTTCATCACTAAGTGGAGCCCGTTGGAAGGTTCGGCGTCTCTCTCGGGGTTGATGCCACTGCCTAATACAAAACTTGCCAATGCGTGGTAGTGAGCCAGCAGTACCACGGCATGCACCAGCTCAGCCAGCGACCAATTGTTCTCTCCCGTCTTCACCAGTTTCTGTGGAAAGGTGGAAGGACACTCGAGTAAATATTTGTCATTTATAAATAAAATACCAAAGAGAGGAATGCAGGCCGAGATCACAAAATGAATCCCTGTGCTATAAGGGGTAAGACAGGACCGTGACAATCATTCTTTGCACATCTACAACCTACAGCCATTTATCCCACATGTATATAGCTGTTTTGGAGTACGAGAGATGGACGCAACGGCATGGCTAGCCTAGGGCTTGGAGGCACTTATAGTATAATCAGGCAGATTATGATGAGGTAGGACAAAGCCAACTGGCCAATCACACTGCGGTTGAACTTACTCCTGTTCTGTCACAATGGAACCTGACTGGTTGCCACAACTATCAATTCTTGACAACTCTACGTTAAAAAAAAAAAAACAACAAAAA